TCCCTAAAATCTGCACTGAAGGCCATGACTTAAAGACAGTATCAAAGTGAAGGCACAGACTCCAAGCCTATAGAAAAATGAAGAATATGCTGGGACTCCAATCAGAGTAGGGAATTACCACGGTTTCCAAACTACAGGTTGACCATGGCCTTGAGGGGAAAGGAAAGTAAATACCCCTTAGAGGTCACTGCTTTGCAGGGCAAAGTCTAGATGGCAGGTAGAGAAGGGGAGGGAGGACTGTCTCCTCTGCCCCAACACATCCTTACATGAATTTCAACACAGTCCCTACTAGAATGCCCTGCCTGGAAAGTGGGATTTGGGAATCCTTTCATTAAGGTAGTGAGAAATTAAAAAAGAAATATGAGCACATCCATCCTAAAAGTTATACAACAGACACTGCAAGGCTTTTATAAAGGATTGGTGGTGGTTAAGTCTTTCTCTTTCAAAGAAATATGGGTAATAAAAAGACAACCATCAAACAAGGATACTGTCATCGAGGAAACTCTGTATTCTATAGCAGTATTTCTTAGAGTGAGCTATACCAAGAATCACTTGCATTAGAATCACCTAGTGCTTGTTTTGAAAAGACAGACAAAAGCAAAACAAAACACCAGAAATCCCTGGGGCCGATTCAAGATACAGAACCACAATTTGTGAACTTGGGATTTGGAGTTTTTAAGATGCTTCCTTGTGAGTCTCATCTTCACCAATATTTTGAGAATTACAGTTATAGAGGGCTGGTAAGATATCTATTTGGAAAACTGGTGAAATTGTAACAGTAAAATTATACAATTAGTAAAATTATACAACTAGTAAGGCATAAAGACATTTTAATTGGACATTGCTCAGGGCTGAATATTAGCAAAAGACAAAAGTAACTTACTAAGAAATATTATCTATATTTATGTCAAACTAAAATACATTTAAAAACAAAACAGTTAAGAAACAATTTGGAATCATTTTTGAATGGCAGCAAGGATCCTTGTACTTACTGAAATATGGTGTGCATACATTGGCCTAGACAGGAAAAATGCTGCATCATGGGGTGTATGAAATTCATTACAGAGCACATCAATTGAAGGTACTCGCTTTATGTAATCTTCTGTGCTTAGATTAGATGCCAAAAACCCACCAAACTGTACCAGGGTATCGTGACACTAAATTTAAAATAAGACAAAAAACACAGATGTGCTACCATTCTACAACATAAATATCTTCCAAAATAATTAAGACATTACTTTAACGTTTTGATTAACAATTAAGAATCCAAATTTTAGAAAATCAAAGGACTTTAGAGACCATTTAGAAACATATTACATATTACATAAGATTGAGACCCTGATAGGATGACTTATCAAAGGCTTTTAATAGTCACTTAGATCTCTTACATTTCAAGCTACTATTTATCACTTTCAATAGAATGTATTTACCTAAAGCACATAAAACAGTATGTATGGGCAAATAGAGGTAAATTTCTTTGCCCTTAAAAGATGAAATTTTATTTATAAAACACATTTGTAATTACTTATCACCAAAATCCATGATTAGCCTACCATATGTGTTTGCCTATCACCAACTATATTAAAACTCACTGCCACTGAGTGGATTCTGACTCATAGCAACCCTACAGGACAAAATAGAACTACCCTATAGAGTTTTCAAGGCTGTTAACCTTTACGGAGCAGACTGCCACATCTTTTTCCCACAGAGCAGCTGGTGGGTTCCAACTACTGACATTTTGCTTAGCAGCTAAATGCCTTAATCACTACACCATCAGAGGTCCATAACCATATTACAAAGGTGGTTGATGGGGTGGAAACAGCATCCACTCTACTATCATTGAAATCCCAGTTTCCAGAGATCAGGAAGGACATGAGAGCAAACAACTTGAAGCTGTAGAAACGTAATGCTAGAATGTGTATTTAATTAAAAGCTTTGTATATATTATAACAGCTCTTCTACAGCCATCTCTCTTAAGCACCTTAATTTGTATCCATTTCTTAAGTCATACAGAAATAAGGCCTACTTCCAGAATGTCTGTTTTACATTAGTGCTGCTTCAAACTGATAATGATGTACATACTTGACATTTCTCAAATTCACCAATCTACATGTTCCTTAAGTATAAAAGAAACTTTAACTTGCCTGATCATAGAGCTTTCCCACAAGTTTCAGATGTTTCTCTCCACCTTCCTGAAAGATTACACCATTTCTCTGTTGAGCCATAAGCAAACACAAAGGAAGTGCAAGATCATGGTCCAATAGTGCATCTTTTAACCTCTGAGAGGATTTTTTAGTGTTTCTGATCTGGCCAAAATAACCACCCTATACAAGAAAAAAAAACACAAATTTACCAGTGCACAATATATAACAACACCTGCCATCTGAGCTATAAAAGACAGAGAAACCAGAGTTACAATCCTTTAAATAAAAAACTCACACATTCTGTGTTGTTTAGCTTTCCCCTTTCTTCACAAATTTTAGTGACACTAATTTTTTTTTAAAGACCTTGTTTTACATTCAACGTAATGTAATGCATACATTTAGTTTCACTCCCCATTTAGCATTCCAACCCTACCCAGTCTCCTCCCCTCCCTAACCTGTAACCCACCCCCTGGTACCCC